ACAGGCGGCGAACCAGCAGCATAGCACAGTCGGTCTACCAGCTGTCTGGATGGCATTGTAAGGGCAACCCTGGAGACTCCGACGAAAGCCTAGCAGGGGAGGATCCAAGACGTGAATAAAAGCTACAGGAAATACACGGAGGGACCGACCTAGCAGGGGAGGATCCAAAGAGAAGAAACTCTAAGGGTCTGCCTGCTAGGGCGCCAACTATATACTGGTCGTCCGTAACTGCCGACGTAGAGCGCAGAAAGCCTGAGCTGAGCGGCGTTGCAGGCTCTGTCCCAAGGTGATCGTTGGGAGGGTCTTGACGGATCAGTGATTGTGCGGGCGAAGGAGGCCGAGGACGAGGGTTGGGGTAGGTCGGAGCGTCCGAGGGGGCGCCGGTCGGATGTGCCTCGGATGCGCTCGGATGGTCTGAAGGAGGCCGAAGTGGGGGTTCCCCTGACAGGCATATGACTATGGTCAGGCCCAGTTTCAATGGGCCTTGAAGTTAACTTGAGCTTAGGTTGGACTTGCACCAACTCCAAGCCTCAAGACTGGTCTGGTGTGATGCGTGACATCAGGTATCAAAAGCTTTGGCTTGGGCTAGCACCGTCACGTGGGGGAGTTCAATGTTGAGTCGTGGTGATTATTTACTTGCTTGCTTGCTTGGTGTGTGGGGGGAGCTGGGGGGAGGGAATACTGACCCATTTCGATCAATTCAGCGGGCCTGTGACCCGTGACCGTTTGGCCGAAATGTCCACTTGCGGCCACAGGCCGAATTTCGCGTGACCTATTACCCGATTGGGAAGTTCGGCGCGCCGCAGGCGCCGAAAATTTCGAAATCTTCCCGATTAGGACAGTTTGGGACCAAAAGATTTGGCTGTGACCCGTGACCCGCCGAAATATTTCGGCCAAAAAATCCGATGTGACCGTGACCCGCCTAATTGAATGAAATAGGTCAGTATCCTACACTGATCTGGAAGTCGCAGGTATTGGCCCTTGTTGCGTCACTGCCTCCGCGTCTTCCGTCCACACTTAAAGGGCTCAGTGTGATGGGAAGGTCATCCCGGCAGTCCGACGCGGACACAGTGATTGCGCCGAACGCGAACTTCGCGGTGCCCGACCCCGACAGGCTGCTGGCGCAGTTGCGCTCACGCTGCCCGTCAATGCATCATATCATGATTGAGGTTCCGCTCCTGCAGCTGAGGTATTAGACCATGCCCATATGCACATCTCTTTGTAAAAATCCACGAGGCTCTTCAGTGCTGATCTCAGTGGATCACTGGGCATTGGAGTGAAGGAGACAGATGATGGTGTCCGACTCGGACACAGACAGGCTACGTGTGGAGCTAGCTCCGCCGCTGGTATCTGTCGCCGCACGCGGGGACCATTGATGCATCCACACATTAATTTGGCAATTAAGCAGCTCAAGGCACATAAGACGCTCTCCCGGGGCTAACGAACAGCGTCCCTGGCAGGAGACGAGATGCAGGACCCGGGACCAGTCCGGTGCCCCACCGACGTCAACAAAACGGTACGCAGGTGGGTCCCCATCCGCGACGCACCTGCCGGCGGGCTGAGGAGTGCGCCGCGCCGCGCGGACGGCATGTCCGTGATCCCGCAGAACATGGGCCGCGCGGGATAGATGCTTGAGGGTCGAATGCAGATGCAGTATGGTGGAACACACTGTCGGTTGATCAGTGCTTTCAGAAGACCGATAAGGTGGAAGAGCACACTGAGCATTGGAGAAGTATACAGTGCGGCTTCTCCGAGGTCAATCTGCTGCGCGCATCATTTGGAGGCGCTAATGGACAGCGTTGTTGCCCACGGGCTGCATCGCATGAATACCGGTGCAGAGTGGAGGAATAAAGATAGCGCACTGCTTGCGCAAACAGCCCATGTCCGTGTTGTTGCTCCACCGCTCCAGAACATCTTGATGAAGACGCCAATGACGTCAGGGCAGCTCGAACACGCCTCCGAGTTAGGATGCTCTTCAGCGGCGCGTCGTCGAGTTGATGTCGATGCGCCGGTCGGCAGCTAAGATCGTCGTGGGGAAGCTGACGCGGCCGCAGCGATAGCATCCACGGCCCGGCCACAGTTGGGCATAAGCCAACCGCAAGCGCGGCGGCCACCAATCCGCGAATCGGAGTAGCCTGGCAGGCGCCTGGTGTGATATTGTGTCAGGTGTACGGATTATCCTCCATAGCGCTGAGGCGGATGGCAAGCAGCACCACGGGGGCACGATCGTCTCCGGATGGCCAGCGCCAGACCCGTTAGCGTGAGCTTTCAAGTTGCGTCGACGTTTGATTTGCCAAGTCCGGACCCACAGAGTCGGAATCGATGCGCCGGTGTAAGTCCTGTGTTAGCAATTTCGTCTCAGCGGAGAGTCTCAATACAGATTTAGACTCTCGAATAAGTTGGCATCCAGAGAAGGAGTTGTTGGGGCATGTGTATCGGCTAGTGTTGCGTAGATCTGCCCCTGAGGCTGGCATTTTGCATCGAGACGAGTTAATTCGTGTCCTCGACAGTGCTGTTGCACACACGCTGCATAGTTATTAGTATAAATACCGGACCGGAGTGGAGGAACAAATCCGAAGATGACCACTCTCCAGCGGCAGGTCCATATGCTGGAAGATGATGATCATTGTCGATGTGCGCAAGATGGTGCTGACCGAGTTGGGCGTCAGGAAGCTGAGGTGGCTGCGGCGCGGGGCATCAAAGGACTGCCAGTGGTTGGGCACAAGCCAAGGTCCAAGCTTGCAGCGCGGAGGAGAATCCAGTATGGCCCAGACCACATTTTGCATACCGCGGGCAGCGGTCCAAGTTCGGTTGGGAAATCCGAGGCAGTTGCTAGTATTCCTGCTCGGGTAGAGCATACGGTCGATTTGATGACTGGTGTCTGAAGACAGAGAATAAGCTAGGATAAGAGTGGGCTTGTAAAAAAGGTGCGCGCTCGGTCAGTGATGTCGGGAAAGCGAGGACAGCGTAACACGCCAGGCAAAGATCTCCAGCAGCACAGTGTCGCCACAGATTTAGACTCCCGGAGAAGTTGGCGACTGGAGAAGGGGTGGTTGGCGCATGCGTATCGGTTAGTGTTGCCGTAGCATTGCGCCAGCTGGCGCCGCAGGTGTGCTGCAAAGGCTGGCATTGTGCGTCGAGATGGGCGTCAGGAACAAAAAGGGAGGCGATTGCGTAAGATGTGACTGGGCGATCACATCATGATTAGCTCCGCGCCGGGCACGCCGATTGGCTGGGCACACGTGTGCGCTGTCAATATGTGGCAGCGCTTTCCTCTCTTCACTTCCAGCTTGGCTGCAACTGGTCGCTCCATGTTTCCGAACGAACTCTTTCACGACGTGCTCAAAGATGTGTCGCCCGCCCAGCTCAAGCTCGTCGCTCTTGCTTCTCGTCGCCTGCGCCTGCTTGCCCGCCCATTCCTCTACAGCAAGCTTGCCGTGAAGCCATATGCGCCCGGAGGAGGAGCGCATTGCCTGGTCAGGCGGCGCCATCCTTAAGCTCCCACCTGCTCATGAGGTGGTGGATGCCATCGCAAAACTGGCCTTCTTCATGTCCCCCCGCCATTGCGCCCGTATGTGCACTGCATCAATGTCGCCTGGGAGGAAGTGAATGGCTTCGCCGAAAAGAAGCAGAGACGCAGTATTCAACGATGTAGCCGGCACGCACACCATCTGTGACGTGCTATTCGCCGGCATCTCCAAGTTCGTTAACCTACGCAAATTCTATGGCCACAGTCTCATATTCACGCTCTCTGCGCTCGCCAACCTTGCGCAGGTCCGCGGCCCGATTGAGCTGGATCTCTTTGCCTGTTCTGTGGACTCCGAGATCCAGGCATTCCTTCGTGCCGCTATTAACGCACTCGACATCCGTATCCGTGTCTCAAGCGTCAAAGTCGCCACCTCGGCAGCATACAGTCCCACGTGCACGCTCTCAGAATGGTTCGCGCTCTTTGAGCCCATCACACTCTCCGCGGTCAGCCTGGACATGGATCAACCAGTGGAAGGGCTTACGAGTGTGCTACCTCACGTAAAACACCTGGCGCTTAGACTCTCCGAGGGCTGCGGCGCGTTGCTAACCTACTCTGGCTGTGTGCAGCTGCAAGCGGCCTTTCCCGCAGTTGAGCAGCTTAGTGTCGAGGCGGCACTCTATGTGGACGATCCGGGGCTGCCGTGGGATGGCCCTAACGGCGGCGAACCGTTGTTTCCCGCTGTATTCAAGCTCACGACCACGTATGAAGCCAGTGAAGCTTTACCCCTCCTCCTGCGGATTGCACCGTCTATCCACACATTGCATGTCGAAAACGCTGATGCCACAAGCTTAGTGTCCGTGCTGCAGCGCAATAGGCAGTGCATCCCCGTGACAATCACGACACTCACCCTCGAATGCGACTCGGAGGACGGCGATCTTGCCGTGTGGGGGGCGCGGTCTTTGCACATTTTCCGCACCTGCATACCCTCGACTTCACCGTAACGATGCTGTCCGGACGCGTGCCCGCCGTAAGTGAATGTCTCCTAAGTGTCGTCATCCGAACTGTGCCCATACCCTACTCAATACTATCACAGCCTGCCGCCTTCCTCACGGGCTTCCCGGCTAGTCTTCCCTTGGGTTTGCAGCGGCTCGAAGTCAAGTACTCGGACACGAGTATGTTCTCTCGCCGTGGCCCCGGAGCGGTTCCTCGTCCGACACCTTGGTGATGCAGACAGGACAAGTGCTACGGAGGCAGCTGCTTCGCCGTTGCCCCAATCTGAGCTGGATTTCGATACTTGCACCACCCTTCCATCTCAACCTCCAGTGGACAAAGGACGCATAATCATGATATAGACACATACGAATTGAGCACACCAGATCACAAAAGATATTCAATATTGATAAACGAGAGAATGAGTGGCATTTGTATTCTTCCTTACTTGAGCTGATCTTGTGGTCAAAGGAAAGATAGGGGTGATATTGCACCGAGTCAAAGGATGCCCTGATCCAGCGGCGGGGCGACCATACGTCTCCTACACCAACATCATTAGTGCATTATCCACCTCATCATTGGATAGAGAAATACGCACCGGCTCCTGCGGGTGGTTACCCAACACAGCCTCGATCCGCGCCAACACCGCAGCATCCAGCTTGGGCAGGACCTCAAGCGCGCCGAGGTTCGCCTCGAGCTGTGCGACGGAGGACACGCCGAGGATGACTGTGGAAGTGTGGCGGTGCGCCGCAACCCACGCGAGCGCCAGCGGGTTCCGCCCAGAGTTCAGCAAGTCGGGGAGAAACGACGCACCCGCAGCAATTTGGCTGAGGAGACGCACTTTCCAAAGCAGCTCTTCGCCCTGGGGACCCTCCGTCGCCCCGGAACATGGGCACGGTGGCGGCGCGCGTGCCGTCTGGGATGCCGTCGTTGTACTAGCAAAGTTAGTTTACGTGTTAGAGGGTTGAGGAGGATATACCTTCCCCGTCAGCAGTCCGCCCTGCAGTGCAGAGAATGCGGTTGTGCCCAGGCCGTACTTGGCGTACAAAGGGCTACAAAGTCAGCATTAGCTACTGCTGAAGTTTGATGGTTGCCCACGCACGCGTATTCCTTCTCCGGACGTTCGCGGTGGAACATGCTATCGTCTCCTCAGCATTATTTCGAAGGAAGAAAGAAGATGGCGCAGACTTGTGCTTGCACTGCTCCGATCGGGCGCGATGAGGTTTAAGCGCGTGGCAACATCTGTGCTGCGGGTAAGCGACGGGAGGTCTCGGGAGAGGTACACGCTCACGATGCGGCTCCTCGATCTGGTGCGCCTCCACTGGGAGGTGCCCCAGTAGAAAGCCTGCGTGTGAATCTTAGTGGATATGGATAGACAAAATCCACCACTCACCCAGCCCTGGTCGATAACATAGTTAAATGCGCGGACGATCTCCTCCATCGGAACTAGCCTGCGTCCAGTTGACCTCCTTATGGCGAATGTAAGAAACCCACCGGTGGTATCGCAACGATGCGCGAAGATGACGTCGACATAGTCCATCTGGAGCCGTCGCAAAACAAGCCTTCGTGCCCTCGATAACGCTGTTGCCAGTCAGAGTTGTAGGAAGGAAAGGAAGGTGGCGCACTGTTTGTGCGACAGCCCCGTGTCGTTCGGGCCCGTGCCTGGCTCGTGGCTCCAGAATATCTTGGTTGAGATGACGAGGTCCGTGCGGCGCCAGCCAAGTTCTTTGATAGCGTGTCCCCTGATTTTGCTGGAGTCAGAGAAAGCGTGGTCAGAAGGGAATCTCAGGGAACGCACATTTCGCGCTCAGCCGCACCTTTCTGGTAGTCCTCCGCGGTGTCGAACATGTTGATCCCATTCTCGAAGGCGGCCTGCATGATGTCCTTGACGCTCTCGCCGACGACGGAGCCTCCGAGGGTGAGCCCTGTCGAGAGCTCAGCTAAAGCCAATGGGGAATGCGCAAAGACGGACAGCCGCCGAGAGAGAAGAGCGGCACGCGCAGACCGCTGGGGCCCAACCGGCGGAAGGGCATCGCTTTTGCGTCGAAGACGGGGACTGGAGAGGACATGGGGGCAGGTGGAGAGGAGTGGAATGGGAATCGATTGCAGCGTCGGCGAACGGGCCGGTGGTGTCTGCGGAAGGCGGAGCGCCGTCGGTGGGGGCAGTAGACCTATTAGTGAAATGAGCGATTGGCTCTGCGTGATGAGCAAGACATGGGTAACGCACCGTGAAAAACTTGAACACGCGTAGCGACTATCAGGACCCAGTTACGCGGACGAAATAGCACACGCACCTTGTCCCCGCCTTCGGTTGTGCCCTGCTGCTTGCCATCCGGGCCGTCCGCGGCTGATTTCACGCCGCTTGTTTCCGCCCAGTAGAGGCCGCCACCCTGGGTGTCAGACTCGCCAGCGAAAAGTGAGGGATTACTGGGGAGTAGATCAGCGAAATAGAGACTGAATGCACAACACGCACCTCAAGCCACGCCAAATCGACCGTCGCAGCCCATCCCTGCTCCTACTCGCGCTGTGGCTCAAGCATAGCATTCGTGCCGCGCTCCGACCAGGGGCGGGACCGTCTCCCGCGCGCACATGGAAGGAGAAGACAAGGCGTGGCTGCTTACGTGGCACTGGCGATCGGCATCAGGTCCGGGCTCGGCGGCCGTGACATCAATCTCTGGTTTCTTTCCTCCGCTCCACGACGACGATGCGCTTGCACGACGATACCTAGCGCACCCTGCGGGCCCACCCCTTGCAGCTGGGGCAATGAGCAACATTTGGGTTATAGCCCAGAGGGGCAATGCACAACATATGGGCTATGCATATATTTTGATATATTATATTAAGGGAACATGATATGACTAATATAAGATCATATATAGGAGGGTAAATCACCATTTCTTCAGGCCGAAGACTCGGTATGTAATATTATGGGCTTAGTGTAGCACAAAAAGAGAATCAATATTAAATCAAGTGGGGGTGATGTAAGATCACACAGGCATCAAAATCAGTGATCTCTTAGGAAAATGGTTCCACAATCAATATACTACATTAGGAACACTGATCCCATCACCATTCACCTGACATAAGACACTAAAATAGTCAAAAGAGATAAAAGTTAATAAAGAAATACTTGCGACAGAGAAAACTGGGTTATATCCCATATGTTGTGCATTGCCCCTTTGGGCTATAACCCAGATGTTGCACATTGCACTAGGGGTTCCAGCTGGCGGGCCACTCCGCGCACGAACGACAATCCGAGGCCCAATTTCTCTGGTGCATTTCTACTCCAGACATCGCCCTGCTCGTTCTCATAACTCGGGCCGGCAGTGCGTCCAGGACTATGGTCGAATGCCACTCCCCGTGCTCGTCAGCTTTCTTGCTCCACCCGCTTTGCCCCGCCGCCGCCGCCGTTGCTGGCCGTTGCTGCGCTGCATCTACAAGTTTGCCACCCCCCACGGCTCTTCCTTCGCCTTAGAAATCCAGCCCTCGGCCCGGTCCATATATCCCCTGGTGTGTAGCTCCCGGTCGCGCGTTCGCCTCGCGGACCGGCTCTTGCGCGACACGTCCAACGACACCTGGCCCGCGCTTTTGCTTCCTTGCCGCCAGTATCTTGACGCCCACGACAATTGTACTTAACGCGCTGAATCTACGGATCCTCTAGTTTGTCGTCCACTCAACGTGCACTTACCAGCAAGCTCTTCCGCACTGAGCTGTCCCCCCGCATGACTGTGTTTTCGGCAACGGTCATTTGATGCTTGTCATATCTATTCGACAACATGCTGGAATGCCCTGTCGTCTTACCAATCAAAGAAATATTATCGAGTTAGGCATGCACGAGTCCAAACACATGTCCGAGTCGGCGATAGATTCAATCGCTGGTCCACTGCAAGTCCAGGAATGACCCACGGATAACTATCTGCCGTAGACCGCCACACCCTTTCAGTAGTTCTGCCTGGAGCTCATCCGCGCTTGGAAGACGGCTCAATCCCACTCTTCCCGTTTGCCCCCCGGGAAGGACAGCCCTTGAGGACCAAATATGGACACGGAGACTTTCGAGAGTGGGCGGAAGGATGGTCGATAGGCTGGCGAGGAAGTGAGGGGCCTGGAGAACGGTGTTGATAGGATCAAGGCCGCAGATAACAGGACAGAATTCACCTCGCTTGGCCGAGAATCACCGCTGGACTCTTTGACACGGAAATCGAGGGTGCGCAGGTTCGGGAAGAAGGCAAGGATCCCGGACCAAAGGGAGTAATTGCCATTATCCGACTGCAATGCTACGTTAGTTATCGTGGGCGGAATATACCTCTCGATGCGCTGGAGCGTAAACAGCAGTCTCCCGGCAGCTTCATTCCAAATCTTCAGTTTGTTCACAAATGGTGTGCATGGGAGAACTGCAGGCAACACTTTGCAGGCTGTGGTCAGCTCGCGCACACACGGAAGCACACAAGCTGGCTCGCTCGCGGCCATCTCTGTGTTATAAGGCCCATCGATGACCTGAACGCACAGCTGTTCGAGTCCCGGGAAGGTGCGCGGCAGCTGCTCGATGCCAGAGTGGGTTAACACCAATGAATTCTGGATCCGCAATACAAGATGTCGCACCCGGGAACACGACATCTTCGCGCGACAACCTGGCAAGGCTGAGCAGACGCTTGTCAATGCACCAAGTGAACTTGACCAGCATGGCAAGATCGAGGATGTGAATCCATGACCAGAGATCCCCTTCTGGCTCCGAATCTCCAATCGCAAATCGGAAAACCAACTCAGAGACGGGAAGTCGGATATCGAGTGCACAGGAAGCTGCAGGAAACGCACCAGCGGCACCACTCTTCCACCACATCATTCTCTCGTCCCGCGGCCGCTCGCTCACCTCCTGAACTAGGCTTGACGGAGCAACGCCCTTGCACGAACAGTATATACCACCAGCCACGGTATGGCTTGCCAAAGCGGTCCCCACCCGGGCCGTCGCGGGTCAGGAGAACATCTGTCCAATGAGCCCAGGACCCTGCGCGGAGCGGAGCTAGGGGGAACGACCCCGAGCGAGTCGAGCGGGGCATCAGGACGGTGCAGGCCTTCGCGTTGAGGGTTAGGGTCACGCTGGCAGACGGCCTTCTTCGCGGTGGGTCCCTCCGCTGTGTCGGCTGTGCGTGCGCGGGACTTATCTGCGGAGGTGTAGCTGAGCAAGCGGCACCACCCCGACGTGCCCGGCCACCAGTCGACGCCGACGTTCCACGAGGTTGCGGAGGCGTATAATGTCCTTCGACGCCGGCGTTCCACGAGGTTGCGGAGGCGTATAATGTCCTGCGGGGACGCGGTACTAGGTGTGCCGCATACGGTTGATTTCGTGTGCTTCACAGAACTGAGGAGACTGTGACAGACGCGCATATGACAACACGCTTCCGTGTGAGAAGTGGACGCACTTGAAGGCACTGATAACTTGGAGGATTCCGATTCAATAGTTTACAGAATATTTTCCACTAGAAGGACTACCAATCATTGTCATATTTCCCTGGGGCGCCCGCTGAGCGACGCTCCGCAAGCATTTTATCCACGCGCTCCCAGAACCCCGCACTAGTCGCGCCGCCTGTCCACTCATCCTGCCACTCCGGCCAGCCGATCCCCTGGTGGACCAGGAGGCACGCAGGGTGCTCTATGAGGCGTTCGTCGAGCGGCACCTTCCCAACGCTGGGTAGGACAGGACGAATACATTCAACCGCCGATGTGGATCCGACAGCACGTCCAGCAACATGTCGAGCGGTGGGGCGTCCCTCTGCAGAATGTCGTGGTACCACTCCTTTGTATCGATGGCGAGATGCGTCAGCGCACGGAGCGCCAGAAGCGGCGGCCAGACTTGCGGCCAGCGGTGGTAGAACGACAGGTGGAGGTGTGTGATGCGCGTGAGCGGGAGAGGTCGGGAGATGCGGTCATCATGTAGAGCGAGAGCAGGTTCGTGGTGAGCCGCCGGAGGTTGGGCAGAGTTCCGAGCACGTCTGCCGTGCTAAATATGAGACCACGCGGTAGAATGACAACATCTTGGAGGTGGGGGCAGGAGTTCAGAATACTGTTAGTCTCAGACGAGGAGAGCTCTCCGTCGAGACGCAGACCGGTCGACTGCGCGATGAATGCCTGCCGGCGGGGGGTCTTCGATGAGCGCCCTGAAGGCAGACGGCGACAAGACTGGGAATGGTGTATTGAGAGTCGGACCAGCCTCCGGATCCCGAAGACTCAAGACGTTGTACAGCAGCGGCTCCACACTGGCGGCCACAGCTGGTCAGCGAGAGAAACGGACCAAAGTACGCATTGCCGGACGCACCACTCTTTCACCCACCACGCTACGCGCATCAACACTGGGATGCCCCGCGGCCGCTGCAGCGCCGCCTCGGAAGATGTGCAGCTCGATCTCGCGGGGGAAGGGCGGGTCGTCCATGAGAGTGAGAAGCAAGATGCGGGGATGAGTCAGCTGGCGACCGCGGGAATCAATCAACTGGAAGCGCCAGTGTTCCGCAAAATGCTGTATAACATCGCTGCAAGTGCCTACCAGCGAAAGACGCGACGCCGATGCGGGACAACGCTGTTGGCAGCCAGATGCCAGCGCATAGTGGACGACGCAGAGGATCGGTCGAATAACGGCGACTGCACCATTCTTGGGGGGAAAATTGGCAATATGTTGATTAGTAGTGCACGGATACAACAACGTCTATTACACTGACAATGGGTGAGCCCCAATTACTAGTATCAAGTGCACAACACACCTTGTCCCTCTGCACACGACAACCATGAGACCCGCCGAGACGGGTCAAGGAAGATAAAAAATTGTGCCACGACGACGGACAAATACGATGTACAAGGAGCCGCGTGCGCTGGCGCCCACCCGCCAGCCACATTTTATTTTTGAAGCGCCTGATCCCATGTCCATCCTGCCTCGAAAGCAGGCTGTTCCTTCCTCGACACCAGCGCGGGCCACCGAGGGCAGAATCGCAAGGTCGGCTCAGACCGTGTGGGGGGAAAGTGGGCGGAAAAGAAGGGCGATGACCCGTGTTTGGCGGGCGGCGCACGGACCATGCTGATGCACGTGCACAGGGAGCCATCAAATTCATGTCCGTGGACACGTTGGCCGTGAAGGTTTTTGGGCACCATTGTAGTCCTTTGAGCGCAGAATGCTGCACTGTGTCCTCCGATACCCGACTGTATTAAGCTGGAGAAGGAGCTTGAGAGCAAGACCTGTCTTTCAAGTTGAGCGCAGTGGCTTGGCATCCCAGTCGGCTGTCACACGCTCAGTGACGCTCTCACGCGGCAACCATTTCTCTCCTAACAACCGTGTTGCCCAACGAGCTCCTCCTCGACGTCTTCCGACGAGCGTCAAGGGATGACCTGCACAATGTCGCCCGTGCATCGCGGCGCTTCTGCTCTTTGGCTCGCACACTCCTACTCACCAACCTCTCGTTCCTGCCCTATACCTTTGACGACGGAGCAAACGCAGCAGTTGGAGGATAAACTGGGACTGTTTGGGTCGAATAGCGTGGCGCTGTACGTCAAGTGCATCTCTGTCAACCTGCTTAGCTGCTACTCTGGGTATTCGTACAAATTCAGCGATGTCAGGTTCAGCGACGAGGACGAGATTCATTCTATGCTCCATAGCGTACTCACGACACTCCCCGCCTCGGCAATCTTCGCTACTTCAAGGCTGAACAGATAGAATTCACGACCGCGGCGCTTGGTGCGCTCGCCCAGCTACAATCACTCGAGACATTGTTCCTCATCAACTGTGCAATCCCCCCTTCTCTCGCCAGCTCTATGTTCCTCCAGAAAATATCCATCAGCAGCTTGATACTCGCCGACTGCAGCGAACCGAGCTCCTGGCTGAACCTTGTAGCCTCAGCGCGTTTGCGCGCTGCAGATACGATGGGAAGCAGCAGCGCCAAGTCTGGCATTACACTGCCAGGGCGGAATTGCCGTACTCCCGATATTCCTGAATACCACCCACCTCACAATTAGTATCAGAGGCTCGGAGACCAGTGAACTCGCCACCTTGCTCAACACCGCCTTTCCTAGGCTGGAGTCCCTGATACTCACGACCGACAACATTCCCTCCCCGGTAGCCCCTCCGGACCGCGATTTGCCATGCACATTCCGTACTTTGACACAGTTACAAGCCACGCTTGAGCTGGCATTGCTTATCCTTCCGCTGGCCAACATTGACAAGCTCACGCTACTGGGACCCGATCGCCAGCCCTGCTGCTCGCCCTTGCTGCCCTTCCTACGCCGCACTTGGAGCAGTCACGGATCTGACGCTTGCAGTGCTAGAGGGGTGCGACACTAGCAGCAAGCTGGCATCCATAGCCAGCTACTTCCCTGCATTGGATCTTTTGAATGTCCACCTCGCATTTCACTATGGAGACGAATATGTACACTCGGTGGGTGCCTGCGATATCGACAAGTACAGTATGAGGGGTGACGAAATCAGTGGGACTGGGACTGGGCCACCCCAAACCAGTCCTACTGATCGAGTCCAATCCCACTGATCAGCCCTTAAGCAAGGGTGATCAGTGGGATTGATGCACTCGACGCATGCTTCCTATGACCTCGGGAATCAGCTCAGGATCAATTCACGAGCTGCGCAGCAGGCCTCCGCGGCAGCGTGGGGTCCGGGTGGAAAACCCCGGCCGCGCCGTAACTACGTGATAAAAAGCTCCAGAGCACCTAGGAAAGTGAGAGAGGGGAGGAGGGAAGAGAAGAGTGCTCCGCAGCAGCGGCCCCCCCGGCGAGCAGAGGCCCCCGGCAGGGTGGGTCCAGGGCAAGGCCCTCGTCCTCTCTATCGTTAACGTTTTCTTGTTTGCTGAGGCTCTCCAAATCCCCGTTAGATCCAACGACAACTGGGAAGGGAGCCTAACCCGGGAGCATTGCGCTGCTCGAACGCTCGCATGTCCCACGACAACAACTCGGACTACGGAAGCACATTCGTAGAGCAGCTTTGAGCTGATTAATCTCACAAAACTATGGATTGCACGCGCTAATGTCCTCCCCCTTACACTTCATGTGACAGCCTTTCTTGATTACGGCGCAGACATTACTCCCGCTGGTATCTCGCTGGCGAGACGTCTCACTAAGCGTGCCAATGGAGACGCTGGCCCAGCTGTTTTTGGCTGGATCACAATTTCCAATGCTACAGCGTCTTTCGATTGCGGCGTCCGAGGGTGACTGGGAGTTGAAACGACTGCGAATCCTGGACGCACCTGAACTGCGATCCCTACAAATACTCTCAGTGGAGATCATTGCGCTGCATCCCTCCAAGGCGCCATTTGCACAGCTAACAACCTTGTACTTCAAACGCCTCGCTGGAGTCTCTGCTGCCTTGGACATCTTGAAGCACAGCAGCAGCCTTCAACAATTCTAGCCTGGTAATCACAATGGCTTTGTCTAGGAAAATTGTCTGACTTTGACCTCAGAGCGACGAACATCTAGTATGTAGTGCTTTTGAAGTTTTCTCGTTTAACCCTCCAAAGGCGCCGGCAATTATGACATGTAGATCACGCTTATCGAGATGGATTTCTGTATGGACGGCGCCATCCTTTCCCATTCGAAACTTCTGCTAAGCGTCAAACAGGACACCCCGACATACTCAAAATACGCGGAGATTATTGCCAGTGCGTCTACTTAACCTGCTGCTTGTACCCCACTGACCGCGCCCAGCATTGTGCGTCTGCGTCGAGCAGACCTCATCAGAGTCATCTGCCTCCATGGATGACTTCCCGCACGCATTGTGGTAGTGTCTCATGGCCGCCACGTCGCCACCACGGTCACGCGCAATTCACGGGTCGCGCTTATCGGGCGATAACAGCCACCTCTCATTTACTCGACATCTCAATTCCTATCTCCTTCCTACTCCACAACTATCTCAAAATATCCGAACTCGAAGCTGCCGCTGGACGCACAGAGCTAGTCGGACTGGGTATAAGACTTGGCTTGGTCCCCCAACGTCTTCGCTGAGGGCAGCAGCGCGATTCCCATTCATCAAAGTCCAAAAATGGTTCTGTGTGGACATGTGGTCAGTGTAGAGCCAGGATCTCTTACACATGGCCAATTTAGTTTTATTTCATTTGTTTGTACCCCTTCCGATCACATAGTTACGGTCTCAGATTCGGATAGGAGAATCTTATCTTCTTGGCTTCCCTCTTTCATCTCGGAGTTTTGAGCCTGCGTGAGCGAAAGCGCAGAATAGCGAGCGCAAGCCAGGATATATTCACCCAGAGCTGAGTACATTTCTCCAGAACTACATCCACCCTTCTACTCCACCCGCAGCATTAACTCGATACGACCTTGGCCTCTACAGTAGTCCTCGCTTGGACTACGTTCGCCTTCTTCAGTGGAGCCCACCGCGAGGGGGCTGGTATTCCGTTATCGAGAACTATAAACGCTGCGTTATCCATCTTGACCCCTAACTCTATTACTCACTTCAGCCGCTAGCGAAAAAAATGGCGACCCCAATCGCAACCGCGACTCTTCATACCCCCATGCCGATTCCGCGCTCGCAGAACGCACCCAAGTTCAATGGACAATACGCCAAAGACTTCCTCACCCAGATCGCCGAGTGCGGCATACAAGCCGGTATCGTCGATAAGGACCAACTAGTCGACCACATCTACAAATACTCCAGTGACAGAGTCAAAGACATCATACGATACATACCCGAGCTCGACATAGAGGCAGCCGGCAAGACTTGGAACGCGGCTCAAGGCACTTCTTGCTGTTTATCCTGACGAAGAGTCAGCACAGAACTATACGGAGCAGCAGTTGAAGGACTTTTGCCAATCCAATGCCGCTAAGTCTCCTTTTGTTTCCAAGCTCGCCGTTGACACATATTATCGAGAATTTCTGCGGATGTCAGGAAACCTAGTCAAGAAGAAGCGAATTACTCAAGAAACAGCGAACTACATGTTCGTAAGTGGCATTCCGACATCCATGAAGGACTGGTTTTACCAGCGTACACCAACCGCGAATCGCACACGATACGGCGCCGACCCTTGTGGCCACTGTCGATATCTTGAAGAAAAGATTCGATCCTGATTCGCTCATCTTCGAGCCGTGGAGCGAGAAGATCTATAACCCAACACAAGCTAAGTTTGATGAATTCGGTAACCGAATTGAGACTACTCTTACCCCAGAATTCCAAACGCAGCCAGTAGCACAACCGCGACCGGTCCAAATCCAGCAGCGACCTGCTCAGGACCATGCGCCCGAGGCGCCCACAACCTCGACAGACTCCCAAATCGCCGACTTGACGCGTCAGCTGGAGCAAATGCGACTCCATCTAGCCGAAAGACAACTAGCTACAAATGCGGGTAAGCGATGCTTCGTGTGCGGAAAGGTCGGCACTCACCAATTACATCCTCGTTACTGCCCGGAAATGCGCGAGCTCATCGAGCGAGC